CTCCCACACAGGTGCAGGGGCCCAAGGACTTGGGCCACCTTCTGCTTTCCCAGGCTACAGCAGAGAGCTGGATAGGAAGTAGAGCAGTCAGGACATAAACTGGCGTCCATATGGATGTCAGTGCTTCATGCAGAAGCTTAACTTATTATGCCACAGCGCCAGCCAAAGTACATTTAACTTTGAGAATGAGAACTTTTTTTTTTTTTTTGAGCAACCTCAATGTCAAAGTCATAAAATTGGACCCAGAGAGAAAGAATTACAATCCTGGAGCCACTCCTAAACTCAGTATTAAACAGTTTCATTGTAACTATGTCAATGCCATTTGAGTTTCAATTTGAATACATTTGAAGAACCAGGAGCCTTGCTGAGGTCTAGAGCAGATGGCAAATTATTGATGAAATAAAATAGCATCTGAGAGAAGTAAGGATGAAGAAAGGCAGAGAAAGAGGCTGAGTCAAATTATTATTCAGTTACTGTCGAGTAATCAAGTACCTAAGCCCAGTGGCATAAAACAGTAAGCATTCACTCCTCTTCCCAAGTGTGACAGGTCAGCCAGACACCCTCACCTCACCTGGGCACAGATACAGTTCTTTTGATCCCCGCGGGCTCATGCTTGTCTAGAGGTCGGCCACTCTGGTGTGGCCACTCCTGCCCCAGCAGGTGCCGGCAGAGCTCCTGAGAGCAGAAGCAGTGTGCAAGAGCCCGGAGGCTGAGGTTCCACACCATGTTAGCCACACTTGGCAGCCAACGCAAGTCCCCCCACCACACCGTGTTACCCCTACCACACCGTATTACCCACATCCTGGCAGCCAACACAAGTCCCCCCACCACACTGTGTTACCCCCACCACACCGTGTTAGCCACATCCTGGCGTCCAATGCAAGTCTCCCCAACACACCGTGTTACCCCCACCACACCATGTTAGCTACAACCTGGCGGCCAATGCAAGTCCATGGCCAAAACCAGATGCAAGGGTAGGAAAACAGACTCTGCCTCTTGACGAGTTGTGTAAAGTCACATTGCAAAACACATTGAAATGGGGAGAGGCAGAAAACCAGGGCCGTTTTTACAATTACTCTGCCGCTAAGATGAAGTAAAATACTAAGTTGATGAGCAAGAAATGTCGGGACAAGTATACTGTTTAAAACATAAAGGTGACCAGTAAGAGGTCCACATGACGATGGTAGTAGGACAGAGGGTAGTGGCTTGATGTTAAACTCATTTTCTCTGAAGTTGATAAGCATATCACAGGTTGAACAAGCCTAATCTGAAAATGCAACAGCGTACACAATCCGAAACGTAAGATTTATCCATTTGAAAGGCAGAATGAGAGAGACAGAAATTAGTCTTCTGTCTACTGAGTCACTCCCCAAATACCTGCAACAGCCCAGGCTGGGCCAAGCCAAAGCCAGGAGCCAGGAGCTTCCTTCGAGTCTCCCACATGGGTGGCAGGAATTGAAGCCCTTGAGTCATCATCTGTTGCTTCCTTGGTGCATTAGGAGGGAGCTCTATCAGAAGTGGAGTGCTGGGGCTCGAACTGGCGTTCCAATACGGGGTGCAGGCATCCCAAGTCAATGCCCTGGGCACAGCTAACACAGTGCCACAAGTGGAAACTTCCACACCTGCTCTCACGTGATGCCTACACGAAAAACAGTGAATACACGCAACTTCAGGCTCCGTGTTTAAGGTAGAAAAAAACCACAAATGGATTCTGTGTTTAGACTTGGTTCCCATCCCCAGTATGCCTCATTATATGTACGCAAAGATGCCAGAATCCAAAATACCCACAACTTCCAGTCCTAAGTTTTGGTTTTTTTTTTGTTTTTTTTGTTTTTTTTTTTTGTAAAGATTTATTGTGGAGGTGGAGGTGGGGGTGGGAGGTGGGAGGTGGGAGGTGGGAGGTGGGAGGTGGGAGGTGGGAGGTGGGAGGTGGAGGTCTTCCATCCACTGGTTCACCCCTGCAATGGCCACAATGACCAGGGCTGGGTCAGACTGAAGCCAGGAGCTTTTTTCTCAGTCTCTCACATGGCTCAGGGGCCCAAGTCTATGGGCCACCTTCCACTGCTTTCCCAGGCACATTAGCACGGAACGGGATCAGAAAGTGGAACAGCTGGGACTCAAACCGGCACCATAGCGCTGGCCCCAGTCCCAATCACTTTGTATAAGTAACACTCGGCTGGCGCGGTGGCTCACTAGGCTAATCCTCTGCCTGAGGCGCCGGCACCCGGGGTTCTAGTCCCGGTTGGGGCGCCGGATTCTGTCCCGGTTGCTCCTCTTCCAGTCCAGCTCTCTGCTGTGGCCCCGGAGGGCAGAGGAGGATGGCCCAAGTGCTTGGGCCCTGTACCCGCATAGGAGACCAGGAGGAAGTACCTGGCTCCTGGCTTCGGATTGGCGAAGCGCACCGGACGTGGCAGCCATTTGGGGAGTGAAGCAACAGAAGGAAGACCTTTCTGTCTCTAACTCTTTAAAAAAAAAAAAGTAACACTCAACCTGTGTAACTTCCAGAAAAACTCCATGGAGATGAATGTTGTGCTAGAGTTAGGAATGTGAAGTGATTTAATCTGTCCTACACTATGAGTATCTAATTATTGTTGACACTCCCCTTTCAGAGAGAAAACCAAAGTTCCAAGAGTGAGACGGAGTATCTATGCCCCACATGACTTAGTAGTTGGGTAGTGCTGGGGTCTGAATAAATCCCAAGTTCATGTATCAGAAACTTAATCTCAGGGCTGGTGTTGCCGTGTAGTGAGTAAAACCACCATTTGCAATGCCAGCATCCCTTTTGGGCTTTGGTTCATGTCCCAGATGCTCCACTTCTGATCCAGCTCCTTGCTATTGCCCTGGGAAAAGCCATGGAAGATGGCCTAAGTGCCTGGGCCCTGTTACCCACATGGGCAACCTAGAAGCAGCTCCTGGCTCCTGGCTTCAGCCCCGCCCAGCCCTGGCCATTGTGGCCATCTGAGGAGTGAATCAGCAGATGAAGAACTCTGCTTGTCTCTCACTTTCTCTGTATAAATCTGATTTTCAAATAAATAAATCTTAGTTATTTTAGATTTATTTTATTTGAAACACAGAGTTACAAAGAGGTAGATTGGTGGGGGGGGGGGTAGGTCTTCCATCTACTGGTTCCCTCCCCAAATGGCTGCAATGGCTGGAGCTGAGCCAATCCAAAGCCAGGAGCTTCTTCCGGGTTTCCCACGTGAGTGCAGGGGCTCAAGGATCTGGGCTATTCTCTGCTGTTTTCTCAGGAGCATTAGCAGAGAGCTGGATAGGAAAGAGCAGCAGCCAGGACTCGAACTGGTGCCCATATGGGATGCTGGCGCAGCAGGCTAGGGCTTTAACCCACTGCACCACAGCACCAGCCCCCAAATAAATAAATCTTTTAAAAAACCTCCAAATTCCTATGTTGATGGTATTTTTAAAAAGATTTGAAAGACAGCAAGACAAAGATCTTCCACCCACTGGTTCACTCCCCAAATGGCTACTACAGCCAGGGCTGCTGGTTTAGGCTAGAGCCAGGAACTTCATTCTGGCCGCTCATGTGGGTGGCAGGGGACCAAGCACTAGGGCCATCTTCTGCTGCCTGATTCTCAGGCACATTAGCAGGGAGCTGGATCAGCAGTGGAGCAGCTGGGACTAGAACCAGCACTCTGATATTGGATACCAACGGCATTATGAGTGGCAGCTTAACCCACCGTGGCATACCACCAACTCTGTCGATGTTATTTAGAGGAGGGCTTTGGGCAGGGTAATTAGGGTTAGATGTGTTCATGACGGCATCAGTGGCTTTGTGAGAAGTTAGAGGTGACCATGCAAGCTCCCTCATTCCCACCACATGGTCCCTGCCCCATATGACAACACAGCCAGAGAACCCTTGACACACTCTGGCATCTTGAGGTCATATTTCCCGGCCTCCAAAACTGAGAAATCCATTGTTTTCCTTTATAAATGACCCAATCAGCGGCCTCCTGCTGCAGCAACATAAAACAGGTGGCCGATCTGACTTTGGATCTTGTAAGTCCCTCACCACCTCTTGTGGCCTGCTCAGGGTAGGGGAGGTGAACTTCCTGAAGGCAACGTCCTTGGTGGCTGTCGGGAGCAGAGCCCTGCGGGTGCCTGGAGACAACTTGGGGCCCAACGTAAGACAGACCCCCGGCCCCTTCCTAATCACACCTGTACACTTCGATGGGTGCATTGTGTTGAAGTGACACAGGTCGTTCTGAAAGATCAAACACGCAACACGCAAATGACCAGCTAGGAGAGGGCTGGGGTGGGGGTGGGGGGCAGTGCACACTGGCATATTAACTTGCCATGTAGAGAGTCAACAAATCGTTTTTGTAAAGAACCAGACAGTAAATATTTTCAGCTCTGTAAGCCACGGGGTCCCTGTAGCCATGGTAGTATAAAATGCTGTGACCCAGGGACAGCGTGTAGCTGTCTCCTATGAGTGTTTATTTACAGAACAGGCGGTGGGCTGACTTTGGTCCCCAGGCCACAGCTCACTGATGGCTGCTGACAACAGTGGCATCAGCATCACCCGAGGACTCCCGAGATGTGAGGTGCTCAGGCTCAGCTGCGAGTCAGAACCTCTGTGGGGTGGGCCCAGCCGTCTGTGGTCCAATAAGCAACCCCGGCGGCACAGGTACACACTCAAATTTGAGAATCATTACCCTAAAACTATTTTTAAAAAACTCAAACTTTCCATGAAAGCTAAGACATTTTGAGTTTCTAGGATCATTTTAGAACTTTCTAGAAAGCCAAGAGACTAATAGCCAGAGCTAAGAAAGCCTAGGCATAAATAGTACTGTCCGCCCGGGCATGGGGGCCCGGTGAGGTCGCATATGCAAGTCAGTTTTTCTTGCTTGTCGTGGACCACTCAACTGGTTTGAAGTTCCTTAACTCAGATCCTCCAAGGTCAACACCAAAGCTAATGTTCTTAAGAGAGGAAATCCCCGTCATTGTCCTGACACAGGTGGTCTAAGCTTTTCAGAGAGCGGGAGTAAAGTGCTGAACCTTTTATTAACATGGAGTTTTAAAAGCTTTACATTGGCGATTCACTAGGAGAGGAGAGCTGTGTCACGAAGATGGTACCCCTGGGTTTGGTTATTGGTTTAGAAGCTGGGGTGCTTCGCCATCATTTTTCTACGAACGCTCTCCATTTGTAGTCTCTGTCCCGGACAGGTAAAACGATGCCATCATCTTCTGCCTTCAGGGGAGAACAGGCACTGTTATAACCTCTGGGCTCTAGAAGGTTCTTACCGCACATTGGCCCCTTAACACCATCTATGGATTAGAATTTGCTCTCACTGGGCCTCGAGGTCTCTCCAAGGGAAGACTCAAAGCGGGGAGCATTTAGACATTTCCCAGGGTTCTCTGTGTGCTAGGACACGTAACAAAATGGTCTGCCTTCACAGCCAACAGCGCAGTGACATTAAACACATTCACACGGCTGGGCAACCTTCACCATCACCCACCACCAGAACTTCATCCTGCAAAACTGAAACTCTGGGGCCGGCGTCATGGCATAGTGGGTTAAGCTGCCTCCTGCCACGCCAGCAACCCAAGTAGGTGGCAGTTTGTGTCGCGACTATTCCACTTCCAATCAAGCTCCCTGCTCCTGGCCTGGGAAAAGCAGGGAACCAAGATGGCACAAGCGCTTGGGCCCCTGCACCCACGTGGGAGAGCAGAGGAAGCTCCTGGCTCCTGGCTCCGGCCTGGCCCAGTGCCAGCCGTTGTGACTGGAGAGTGAACCAGTGCATGGAAGACCTGTCACTTGACTTTCATATAAATCTGTCAATCTTCATAAGCTGAAACTCCGCCCCCAGCAAACACTAACTTCCCTATCCTCCCCTCCTACCCAGCCTGGGCAACGTCCATTCTACTTTCTTTGTGGATCTGATTATATACAACATATAGCCACATACAAAGGTCTTCAAAAAGTCACATAATGGAAAAAATTATGGACTTTAAACATTTTGCACAATAAGCAAACATCCTTTAATTCAATGTTTTCATGACCATTTGAAGTACTCTTGAATAGGTGGAATCACACTTTTTTTTTTGACTGGCTTTTTTTTAACAATCTGAATTAAAAATTTAAATTTAAGAGGAAATTTTTTAAATTTTAAATTTTTTAAAATTTAAATTTTAAATTTTAAATTTTTAAGAGGAAGAGTGAGAGATTCCATCCACCAGTTCACTCCAACAGCCAGGTCTGGGCCAGGCTGAAACCAGGAGTCCTGAGCTCAGTTTGGGTCTCCCACATATATGACAAGGATCCAAATACCCAAGTCACCTGCTGCTGCCTTCCAGTGCATTATCAGGAAGCTGGATCAGAAGTAGATCACCCAGGACTTGAACCTGGCACCCTTATATAAGATGCAGCAGTTCCAAGTGGCGGCTTGGCTGCAGTGCCACTGGCTGATTTTTCAATGCAGTTTTGCTATACATGGGACACCGCCCTTCCAGTTAGCGGGAATATGACGACATAGCTATTACTCCTAGGTCAGAGGTCTTTAAGCTGGGGTTCTTGGTGAGCCCCAGGGATCTCACTCCCTTTAAGGAGTGAGTCTCCTTTCATGAGACTGTCACAGGAACCACTGGCTTAGAAGATGCTCATTTCCATTCCAATCTTCTCTGCTTTGAGAGCATCCTTGGTCCCAAATCTTTCAGCTGCTTCCAATTAGCAAAAAGCCAAGCTGACGCGACTGCTCTGGATTTTGTTGCCGATTCCCGTCTGACACTTACCGGGAGCGTCCCTCCCTCCGTAAACCCCTCGTCCCGTGTTTACCTGGTCCCTGAAGAGCTCAGACCCCTCTCCTCCTACGAAAAAGGAGCTACCACTTGATCTACACTGGAGTGGCTGTTGCCAAAAAAAATCAGAAAACAAACGGATATCGCTGGGGATGTGGACAAAGTCGAGCGCCACGTACTGCTGTTGGGGGTGTACAATGGAACGTGGCGTGGTGCTTCTGCAGAAGTTACAACTAGAATCACCACGCGGTCCAGCAGTGCCGCTTCTGGGTCTAGGCTGGAAAGAACCGCTAACAGATGCCAGTAGGTACGTCCATAACAGCATTGCTCCCAGTAGCCACCAAAGCACCCAGGGGCCCATCGGTGGGTAGATGGGTGCATGTGGTTTATGGTCCTACGTTCAATGGAGTATGAAGCTCTGACATGCAGCACAACGTGGGTGAACCCTGAAGACCTTGAGCTCAGGGGGAACAAGTTTGTCACAAAAGGACAAGTAGGGTGCGACTATGTATGATCCTGGATCTGCGTGTGATCTTATATCAGGTCTGTAGAGGAGCCCAGTTCACGGAGATGGGGGCCGGTGCTGCGGCACAGACGGCTAAGCTGCCGCTTGTGATGCCGGCAGCTCAATCCCATATCGGATCTCCAGCTCGGATCCCAGCTGCTCCGCTTCCAATCCAGCTCCCTGCTAATGCACCCAGGAAAGTGGCAGAGGACAGCCCAAGTATGTGGGTCCCTGCCACCCATGTGGGAGACCCAGATGAAGCTCCTGGCTCTGGCCCGGCCCAGGCCTGGCTGTTGTGGCCAGTTGAGGAGTGAACTAGCAGGTGGCAGATTGAGCGATCTCGGTCTTTCTTGCTCTCACTCTGCCTTTTGAATACATAAATATTAATTAAAAAAAAAAAAACACTTTCAGAGAATGGTGGTTACACCAAGGGCTGAGGGGAGGGGGCGATGAGTTGCTTGACAGGCATGGAGTTTCGTCGTGGGAGAACGAAAATGTAGGGGTGGTGGTGATGTTTGTACACAGTGTGAATGCACTTAACATCACAGAGCTATATATTTCACAAACAGCTAAAATACCTCCCGAAAGCCTTTCAAGATGTCTCCTGCTACCTGAGCTCTTTCTTGCTCCTACGGAAGGCTTGGGAGTCCCTGGGAAAGTTCGTCCCAAACAGTGTATTTTGGAAAGACACGAAATCCAGTCAGTGGCACAATGATCTTCAAGCTGGTGCTGCCTCCGATGTCTGCACTCTTGGGGTAGGGCTTTATCCGGGCATAGGCCCCCAGCCAGACTGCCCACACCCGAGGTCAATACCTGGCTTTGGCTCCTGACCCCGGCTTCCTGCCAGTGCACACCCTGGGAGGTAGTGGTGACGGTTCAGGTAATTGGGTTCCTGCCATCCTTACGGGAGACCTGGGTGGAGTTGCTAGCTCCCAGTTTCAGCCCCAGCCATTGCAGGCACTTGGGGGTGAACCAATGGATGGGAGCGCTCTTTCTGCCTCTCAAAAAGAGAAAAATGACTTTATCATGTTCTCTCCTTGCCTGTACCCCTCCAAAAAAAGTGAACAAAGCGAAGCTTCTATGGGATTGTGTGTGTGTGTGTGTGTGTGTGTGTGTGTGTGAAGCCTGCCTGTCTACTGCCTCCCCGGTGGTGACCTGCCAAGGTGGTGCCCCACCAGAGGCCCCCTGTGTCCGCTCCGAAGTCACTGACCTCCGTGAAGTGCTTCTCGATGATGCTCAGAGCGGTTTGGGCGATCTGCCGGTTCTCGTGCAGCTGCAAGGCCTCGATTTGGTCTATCCCGCCGAGTTCTTCTATCAGGAGACACAGGTTGTCCTTCTCGTACAGCTTCTCTGCCTCCTGCGAGCCACATGAGAGAACAAGAGACCCTGGGCAGGGGCCCTCGGTCGACAGAACCCTTGCCAGTCCTCGGGGTTCAGCGGGATGAGACCAAAGGCCGCCATTCCAGAAAGGGGAGTCGCATTGTCTCTTTTCCCAAATGTATTGATAGCTGCAAGCACCTCCCCCCATCTTAGATACTTCCAAGATCTGACCATGTATGTATGTAAGCTATAGACACATGCATGTACAATACACTTATGCAACATACATAAATATGTTGACTTCTATAAACATTTATTTCCGTTGTATCAAATACAATGCTTCTAGACTATCTTAAGGGATGGATTTGGGGCCAAATACATTGCTGCCCACAAATACGTCACATTTGGCAGGTAGCTCCTTCTAGTTAAAGAAAATGGTGTTAAATCCGGTTTGCAAGGGTGTTCCAGTAATGCCAGGTAAATGTGGTGTTCTGGCCCTGAACTCGAGCCTCACAGGATCAGACAGGAGAGCCTGCATCACAGAAGTGACCCACAGTGGCCCACAGTGAGGTCCCGGGGGGCAAACCACGTGGGCAGAGTCAACCCAATGCTGTCACTGTCTTTTCATCACAGAGGACTAACCATTCACTCCGATGTTTGTACGGATACAGCAGGCGAGGTACACGCACAAAACTAGAAACCCAGAAGTGGTGTGCATCACCCAGGTTACTGGGGAGCACCAAGTCAATCATTGTCACTAGCAGAGGCTGAAGTCTCAGCAGATGCACAGGGCAAGTACGGACGGTACCATAAATTCTTACTAAACCTACTTGGCCAGGACGAACCTGAAGTAATCAAAGGGCTGTGTCTCAGGAGAAGAGGGTATAGCTCAGCTAGACAGTGCATTTGGAGGAAGTGCAGAGTGGTAAAGCAAGCACTTGGGCATCACACCCCAAGGGCTCTGTTATTTTGTGAGCTGTGACTTAAAAAAAATAAGTCTTATAGATCAAACTAAACATGATTCAAGCCATGTGGTTTATGTGACTTGAGTTTCAGCTGCACGTTTAAGCCTTGGGACCCTTCAGTCCCAGATGCAGGTCCAAAAAGAGCTATGGGTTTGGAATAAAGAAAAGAGGCAGGGACCAAAGTCCCACGTCAATGTCAGCAAGAAAACTGGGGAATAGGGCTTGGCCCTGGGTAGCAGGAGCCCTGGAGGAGGACGTGGGGCCAGGACAGGACAGGACATGGCCCCTAGACCTCCCCAGCACTCCGCTGTCCACCTGAAGCGTTATGCAGCCCCACCCGGGCCTTCCTCACCTGCCCGTTGGTCCATCAGATGTGACCGGCCCAGTCTCTCAAGACAAAATCTTTAAGTGTTTAATTCAAATGGAGTTGATGGAGTGACACACTACGGTCCGGAACATGTTAGTCCAGCTCTATCTACTGGCTGCAGGTCTCTACCCTCTCCTGGTGTGATCTGCTCAAAGTCACAGGGTATTATGGGACTGGCTTTCAAATCTGGTCTTGTCTTGGGTCAGTCCTTTTCCACAACAGTGCGTGTAAAGGAAGCTCCAAGTGGGCTTTTATGAGTTCCTGGTGTTCTTTTGGAGGTTCTCAAATGGCTTCATTGCAAATGAAGATAGCCAGCTCCAGGACGGCCCCTGGTGACCCCCATCCGGGTGTTCATGCCCTTGTGTAGTTCACCCCCTGCAGTGAAGAGGGCCCCCCCCGCCCCATGGAAACAACACGACGCTGCTGAACTGACAGAATGGGACCTCCAAGGCCAGTCACAGACAACACTGCAGCTTTAGTTGCTTACTCTGTGGGAAGTCAGCTGCCACGATGTGAGGCCACGTGAGCTGCCCAGTGGCGAGGTCCACCTGCCACCGTGGATGCTGATCCTCCAGGCTCCAGAAAGCCTTCAGACGCCAGCCCCCGCCCCAACATGTTGACTGAACCTCAAAGGAGACCCGGAGCCAAACCCATCCAATTCCTAATCCCAGTGTGTGGATAACGTGCTCCATAGCAATATAGAACTAGTAGTGCAAGCAGAACGGAGAGACTGGTTTGACATTCCTTCATGTCAGAACTAAGACTTTTCCAGAACTCTAGCTCAGTGCTTTGTGGTCCAACCCCCTAAAACATAATGCTGAATGGAGAAAGAACTTCAAGACTTATCCCCCCTAGGCCGGCACCACGGCTCAATAGGCTAATCCTCCACCTGCGGCACCGGCACCCCGGGTTCTAGTCCCGGTCGGGGTGCCAGATTCTGTCCTGGTTGCCCCTCTTCCAGGCCAGCTCTCTGCTGTGGCCCGGGAGTGCAGTGGAGGATGGCCCAGGTGCTTGGGCCCTGCACCCGCATGGGAGACCAGGAGAAGCACCTGGCTCCTGGCTTCGGATTGGCCGCAGCGCGCTGGCCGTAGCAGCCACTTGGGGGGTGAACCAACGGAAAAGGAAGACCTTTCTCTCTAACTCTGCCTGTCAGAAAAAAAAGACATCCCCACCAACTTCCTACTGCTCCTTCAAGTGTACCTGTGTTTTAGATTTCTAAGCCTCGTGGCTCACTGACTTCCGCCCTGCTTCAACAAGCCTTCTGTTGACGTCTCCTTACTCAGAGGAAGCCAAAGTTCTCACAGATCCTGCATGACCTGGCCCCGACCTGCCAGTTCTTCCCACCCTGCTCTCTGCCCTGGCCACGGATCCCTCCTCACACTCCCTTTTCTTGAGACGCTTCCTCCCGATTCCCCCAGGACTCACTGGCCCCTCTCGGGTCCTCCTCAGACTCCTGCATATGTGAGAGCCACTCCCCACCATGAACCACGAGGGATACCCCTTATCTGCCTGATATTACCCATAACTGCCTCCCCACCCCAGGAATGCCCAAGCCCCATTAGAACAAAGACTTGGCGCCACTGTATCTGGAGAATCCAAGAAAGTGCCCAGCACAGTCATACTTACTTAAGACGAAGGTGATGACCCTTCCTTGAAATGTCCCTTATCGTGTTATCCACAGGATACACGGATGAAGACGGTCAGATCAGGGTGGAGGGGTCGAAGGGATTGGAGAAAATAGAGAATCCCACCTGGATTCTAAGAACTAAAATTAAGTGTCTTAATCAAGTTCGAGACTGCCATTACGAACCCACGTGTTCAGAACAGCTCACCTGGAGGAAGTAGGAGATGACATCGAGGATGATGAGGACAATTTTAACATCTGGGGCAGTGAGGAGCCTCATCAGGGGCTCCAGGACCCCCGAGTGGAGGAGCTGGAACAACTGGTTCACGGTGGCCCCCATTGTGAAGTTGGCCACCATCCAGACAGCCTCTTTCTGGACTCTGAACTCCCCCTGCAGAAAGCAAGCAGTCACGTTCAGTCCAGATCTCCCAGAACCTCAATACAGCAGTGCCACCCTGGGTTACTCTCCAGGTAGGCAGGCAGCAGCAAGGGCCGTACGTGCCATCTACACCGGACACCTTGGCTGCGGGCCTCCAGTTCTTCAGGAGAAGAGAGCATCTTTGGGTAGTGGAGGAGCCAAGGAGTAGGTGGGCAGACTCAAAGGGGGTCTCAGAGGGAGGTTCCAAGGTCAAGTTAGACTCGTCCCTGTGTCAGGCTACGGGGAAAATAGAACATAAACTAATCTTAACCTGTGTAGACTAGGGCATATGCTTGGGGTTTAAGCTGAGAGGGGTCTATATTTACATTCCTAGCCTTTCCCACCCAATGAAATTCTGTGCAAGAAGCTAGGTAGCGAGGGACACAGATGTGTTCTAGGAGGCTGGGCTAGACCAGCAGTGACAGAGGAGGAATTCATCACCAAAGCACCCCTCGATGAATCTCCTGCATTTACAAAAATTCCTTGGCCCAAGGCCGGCGCCGCGGCTCACTAGGCTAATCCTCTGCCTTGTGGCGCCAGCACACGGGGTTCTAGTCCCGGTCGGGGCGCCGCATTCTGTCCCAGTTGCCCCTCTTCCAGGCCAGCTCTCTGCTGTGGCCTGGGAAGGCAGTGGAGGATGGCCCAGGTGCTTGGGCTCTGCACCCCATGGGAGACCAGCAGAAGCACCTGGATCCTGCCTTTGGATCAGCGTGGTGCGCCGGCCACAGCACGCCAGCCACGGCGGCCATTAGAGGGTGAAGGGGCAAATTGCGACCTTTGAGTAAAGCGAAAACAAAGCAAGTGACTTATGGCCCCAAGCAAGCAAGTTAAAGTTCAAAAGACACAGTCTGAAATGTGAGGGCTCAGAGATAAAAGGTGGATGATTAAGGAAAATACATGCTCAATCTGACCACAGGAAGGTAACGGAAGAAAAAGGACAGCACTCCCAGGGGGCAGCTGCAGACACATTTGCAGTGGAAACTACAGGAAGAGAGACCCTGTGGAGCAGTGGGGACAGCACAGAAGCAGTGAGCAGGACACCAGGGGCTGGAGGGGGTGCTATCTTCTTGGAACAAGCACCTGGCAGGCAGCTGGCAGGAAATGCCACCTTATGAAGGTGAGTAGAGGCCGCTGTGAGTTTATTGGAGGGGTAAAGCCCTACTGACTTTGAACCTGGCCTGGAGTGGGCAGTAGGGCATCCACTTAGGCCCATAAAGCACTCCCATCTACTCACTATTGATCAGGCAGCTGGCTCAGGGAACACCACAGCTCTTTCTGTGGATCAGGGAGGCTTGTGGGGCTGGGAGTGGATCCCACGCTCCCTGTGACTACAACAGGGCATGAGACGGGGTGTGGCTGGGTCTTTGGGAAATCATTGTGTCTGGCTTCAGAGGCTCACGGTTCCGGCTTACACGGAGCAGTGCACAGAGCCTCTGTGTGGTTCATGTACCTGTGACGGTGAGGCGCCTGGGCACTGTGGGCTCACCTTGGCAGAGAGGGCTTACGCTGTGACCACGCGAGCTGACACAATCAGGCCCTCCTCGCTGATGATAAAGGAGATCTACCACGGCCTGGCCTGGACTCTAGCCCCACTGCCGAGCACTGGCCAGAGCTCCCTGGCCCCACCCAGCACACGCCTATGGATAGCCACTGCAGGAGCTGACACTCCTCTAAGCCTCAGAGGCATTTTGAAAGATAAGAGCTGTCAGAGGAGAAAATGAACAGGTGTTTATACACATGCCTAAGAATAAATGTAGAGGCTGGTGCTGTGGCTCACTAGGCTAATCCTCTGCCTGCGGCGCCAGTATTTTGGGTTCTAGCCCTGGTCGGGGCGCCGGTTCCATCCTGGTTGCTCCTCTTCCAGTCCAGCTCTCTGCTGTGGCCCAGGAAGGTAGTGGAGGATGGCCCAAGTGCTTGGGCCCTGCACCCGCACGGGAGACCAGGAGGAAGCACCTGGCTCCTGGCTTCGGAGCGGCACAGCGTGCCGGCCGTAGTGGCCACTTGGGGGGGTGAACCAACAGAAGGAAGCCCTTTCTCTCGGTCTCTCTCTCTCACTGTCTAACTCTGCCTGTCCAAAAAAAAAAAAAAATGTAGAAATACAAGAAACATGAATAAGGAAGACGATATGATTCCCCCAAAAGGAATGCAATGCTTCAACATGAATGTGAAGAGATCGACAAAATGCCTGAAAAGGAATAGAAAGGAATGATCACAAGATTATGCAAATACAGGAGTTAAATCTATGACATGGATGAAAAATTCTGCAAAGAAGTCAAGCTAAAATATTAAAAATGAAGAAATACATGAAACCTGTTCTCTAACAATAAAAATTAAAAACAAAGATATGAGGACTCTGATGCATTGCCAGATGTTTCTTATTAGACCTTGTATAGACTCACAGGAGGAAGCAGGACAGGCAGTATCCAATCGACTGGAGGATGCTGGGGTTTGAACTATACACCTGGCCTTTTCCTCTTGCCTTGATTCCCATACCTGGCACGTACCTGGGAACCTGCCACCAGGCTGAGAACAGGAGCGCAGCCTTTCCCCACCTCAACCCCACCACCTGCTCCCCCCCCCCCCCCCCCCCCCCCCCCCCCCCCCCCGGAAGAAACCTGACTGCAGGTGGTTCAACCAAAACTCACACACTGAAAGGGGCTGGTGTGATGTGCAGGAGGACGAGGGAAACCTTATTACAGTTCTAGCTTTTGTTTGAATTTTCTATTCAGTTTAATTTGTACGTGGAAAATATCACCATTTTCATCATGTGACATCACCGTAGCGGGATACATTTTTTTCTCGTAAAACAAAACCTCCGTCTTTGTACAGGTAGAGGGTAGATGGCACTATCTTTGGACACCCTCTAGAGATAAATTACTATTTGCCAGCTCATGACTTTTCTGGATGTTTGAGCCATGGGCAGCACCTTTTCCTTGACCAGTGCTAGCCTGGTCTCCCACACGTGTGATGGGTTCCTCAGGACGGCTCACCTCACCCTTCCCCCAGACAGAGCTAAGGATCCATCATTTCACAGCCTTGCTGTGTCTGGCTGTTTGAAGGAGCTCAACACGGGGCCGTGGAAGGGAGTCTTGGGCGGTGGACGCCAAGGGTGCCACTTACGTTTTTCAACAGAGCCACCAAGGGAGGCAGCAAGTTGTAAGCAATCAGCTGCTGGATGTGCTGATGGGGGCCTGCAGCCACGTTGCTCAGGGCCCAGGCAGCCTCCTTCTGGATGGAGGACTTGGGGTGCCTCAGGAGCTGGGGCAGCACCCTCAGCATGCCTGCGTCGATGGCCATCTGGGTCTGCTGATCGGTTCCCGTGACAATGTTCCCCACGGTGCGCAGAGAAGGAGTCTGCAAGAACAAGGCTAGCGCTGAGAATCCGTGACGGTGAGATGGCGATCCCACCCAGTCCTGGGCCTTCCCAGACACCAGCCACGCCACGCTGACCATTCCCGGGAAGCCCGTGGGCAACGGCTATGTCCACGATCTTACTAACTCAGTGTCCTCGGCTGTTCGGACAGTTTCCCGATACTTGCCAGCTTCCCAGTAGTTCTGGCTCAAGTGGGATGGAGGTTGAATGATAGTTTAATCGTAAGTGCTGCTGCCCTTTCCACGGGGGAAATGCTACATCAATTATAGTTTATCATGAACAGCATTCACTGGATTTGTAATTGGCACCAGTGCCAAACGTTGGTTGTAGAGTTAACTGGAGCTTATGCGATTCCTCTGACATTTCTTGGGGGTATTGATGAGCCCCTTCACAGTAACTGAAGGTCCTCCCATGCTGGGTCTACAACTGGGTTCAACACCCATCTCGGAGGGCTGAATTTGAGCTTCTCTGCACAGTGAAGCCCATCACAGCTCTAGAGTCTTCCTCGCCTATTGGGCTTCATACCTGCTACTCCAGTGAGAGCTCAGAGTAGAGGCCTCACAGGATAGCTCCAGTCGGCTCCAGGACCCCAGGAGAAGCCACTGCCATAGAAAATCGCCTTTTCTTTCTCTTTGCATTCTCCACATGCCTCCACACTACTCCCCCAACCAACCTTGATGTGGAGAGATACTAGGCTATTCTCATTCTCAGAACGCAGCATCACCCAGACTGCACGGATACAGCGTAAGAGCAGAAATCAAGAGGGGCAGAGTAAAGGCATCTTCTAAATCATCTGAGGGGTCTTCAAAAAGTTCATGGAAACACACGGGCTTAAAAGATCAATTTATATTGGAGCAGAATTTTCTAAAAGATTTTTTCCATGAATTTAAGTACCCTCATATACCCATCTTTCAAAGTCGTTTATGTCAGTGGATCATGTTTAATTATCTAGCAAAGCATCTGATAATGGTTTTCATTTGCCTTTGGTCTGTATCTGAAGTATCTAAAAACCAACGAGGGAGAAGATAGAGGAATTTTCTTTTATGCTTGTGTAAGAAATTTAAACGTTATAATGAGCTTTACACACATATACAGTATAAGCCAATCTGTTGAAATCTACAAGTAGAGACCACTAGAAGGAAAGAATACTGAGCATAGTTCCTGGGTCTTGGGATTATAAGCAATTTTCACTCGGCATTTTCCTATATTGTTTTAGCCTTCCAATGAAGAAAGTTGAATTTTACTTAATGCCCAGTAGGATTTTAGATCAAAACAGATTCAAGTCTTTGACTAGGGAGTGGCAAATCCCAGGCAATGCCGGTGCCAACCTTTGTCCTGGGCACGAGTTTACAGCCGACTGTGAAGACCCGGGGCAAGGGGCACAGACCTGCAGAAGTCACAGACGCCACTCAGCAGGACCCCCGAGAAACAGACAAGCCCGAGGTCGCCATTTACCAAGATGCAGAGTTCCAGGCTGGTCATGAGCTCCACCAGCCTGGGCAAGACCCCCGTGTCAACCACTCGGCCGATGCGCTCATTGCAGCCATCGGTGAGGTAGGAGAAGGCCCAGCAGGTGTCCGAGAGGATCTCGCTGTCCTGGTGCTGCAGGAGGTGCAGGAGGACCGGCAGCAGCTGCTTCACCGCTTCCTCGCAAGGGTACGGGTTCTTGTTCCGGCACAGGTTGGACAAGGTCCACGTGATGTTCCGCAGAAATGTGATCTGTAACGGGGAGACTGCTCTCAGCATTGGGGGCCAAGGAGAGAAAACCGCGAGCAGCAGTGTGCCCTCACCTTCTCTGGTCAACGCTATGGATCTGCGGGAACCGGAGCTTGTGAGCTTCCAATCAGAACCTGTGCTAAGCGGTGCTGTGCGTTAAGGACACAAATGAGCTTCGCGTTTCCTAGTCACAGGTTGGATGGAGGTTTCCTATGATCTCCAAAGTGTCCTTCTCCACTCTGCTCAATGGCTCGCCCGATTTCATGTTTCATTGACAAAGAGATCAAACAGGAGTTACTCGGCCTTCCCACCATTCTGTAACTCCACTGTTGTAGGGGCCAGTGCCGTGGCACAACAGGTGAACGCCCTGGCCTGCAGTGCAGGCATCCCATACCAGCACCAGTTTGAGACCCGGCTGCTCCACTTCCTATCCAGCTCTCAGCTGTGGCCTGGGAAAGCAGTAGAAGATGGCCCAAGTGCTTGGGCCCCTACACCCACGTGGGAGACCCAGAAGCTCATGGCTCCTGGCTTCAAATCAGCGCAGCTCCGGCCATTGCAGCCATTTAGAGTAAACAAACTGTTGGATGGAAGCTCTCTCTCTCTCCCTCTCTCTCTCTCTCCTCTCTCTGCCTTTTCTGTGTAACTCTGACTTTCAAATAAATAAATCTTTAATAAATAAAAACTCCACCGTTGTAAGCACCGTTCTGAATTTCTATTTTAGGGGCCATCTTCCTACCTTGCCTTTTTATGTCTTTTTTTTTTTTTTTTTTTTGGACAGGCAGAGTGGACAGTGAGAGAGAGACAGAGAAAAAGGTCTTCCTTTCACTGCACTCCCTGGCATAGCAGAGAGCTGGCCTGGAAGAAGGGCAACTGGGACAGAATCCGGCGCCCCGACCGGGACTAGAACCCGGTGTGCCGGTGCCACAAGGCGGAGGATTAGCCTAGTGAGCCGCGGCGCCGGCCCCTACCTTGCCTTTGGGTACGAAACATTCTGCCTGCAAAGATCCTGCCCCCAGGAGCACCTCACTCCCATGAGTCCCTCCCACCAGTTTGGAAACACGCTCTGGGACCTCCCCCCGCCCCTCCCCAGCCATCCCCCACTTCTGGTTTTCAGCGTTTGTGCTCAAGGAGACATTTATATTCACCATCTTTTTCGTAGCTTCCATCTGTTCAAGCCATTGTCATCTGGTTTCCGCCCCTACTTCTTTGTAGTTTGCGACAGAAATCAGTTCTTTCCAGGTTACCAAACCCAGCGGCTGCCGCTCAGTCCTCAAGCTACTGTCCCTCTGTGTTATAATTAGCTGTCAGTCATTCCCTTTTGACAAATCCCTTCTCGGCCCCGGTGACACCACCCCTGGTTTTCTGCTGCTGAACGGGCTATGTGTTGGGGGCTCTGCCAGATTTCTGCACAGCAGAGCTCCCAGGACGTGGTCCTGGGGACTTCGCATGCTCTAGGTCAGGAGTTGGTCAATGTTTCTGTCAAGGACCAGATAGTAAACATTTCTGGCCTTGTGAGCCGTATGTTTGCAACTGCTGATGCAACGACTCAACTTTGCCCTTGCAGCACAAAATGATTGCAGACAACACGTGGATAAACAGGCACAGCTGTGTACCAGTAAAACATTTAAAAAACAGGTGTGGGGCCCATGAAATGGCACAGTGAGCTAAGCTGCCACCTACAAAGTCAGCCAGCTCCCCACATCAGAGTGCTGGCTGGTTTTAGTTCCAGGTTCTCTGCTTCCAATCCAGCTCCCTGCTCATGTGCCTGGGAAAGCGGTGGGAGGATGGCCCAAGCCCTTGGGTCCCTGTTCCCACATGGGAGACCTGGATGGAGTTCCTGGCTCCTGGCTTTGGTCTTGCCCAGCCCTGGCCATTGTGGCCATCTGGGGAGTGAACCAGTGGATGGAAGATCTATCTCTTTGTCTATCTGCCTTTGAAATAAGAAAAAAAAAAGTGGCTGGAGGCAGGTGTTTGGCCACTCAATGAGATGCCTACATCCCACATCAAAGGGCCTGAGTTCGAGTCCTAGCTCCACCCCAGTTCCAGCTTCCTGCTAGTGCACACCCGGATGCAGAAACTACACTCCTGTCACTCACATGGAAGACTTTGAGCCCCTGGTGTCTGGCTTGGGAGTCCTAGATTGTAGCCATGTGGGAAGTGAACCAGCAGGTGAGAGCTCTCTCTGTCCCTTTCCTCCCACTCATATCCCCTCTCAAAATAAATAAGCCACAAGCAGCCGGTCAGGCGAGATTTCCTGAGCCTTCCTCCGGCTGACCTCACCCAGCTGGAGGTCACGGAGCACCCAGCTGTGCACAGCTGCACACACACCAACCTGGCATGGTGGTCACGGTGCCTCTAACTTGCCTTGGTTAACACCCACAGAGAACGCGCCGATCTCCTTTCTCCTTCCATCTTCCCCCTTCTCTAGGGGAGCAGTCATGGAAACAACCTAACCTGAGGCAGGAAGCACCTGGTTCCCTTCTCTTCCCTCCCATGCACAGCAACCCCCCGAAAGCCTCCCCTTTGCCAGCTCCCTCTGCTCTCCACCCCAGCAGCTGCCAAGGGTCTTTGTGGAAGACGAGATCACTCCACTTCCCACCTGGACACCCTCCCAGGGCTCCCCGTGAACCCCAGGACCATGTCCGGGTCCTCTGCACTGCTCGCTCTGCAGACTCCCTCGGTCACGGCTGGCCTTCCCTAGCTCAATCATGTCACAGGTTCTCACTCCTCGTTTGCATGCCACCCTTGGCCTCGCTTTATTCTTGTTTGAGGCAAATCTAGAACCCGATTCCTAAACCTGGGAGTCCTCTACTGTTGCCACCTCAACCAACTCAGACTGTAAGCTTCAAACTCAGACCCTGGTTATGACCCACGGCCAGCACTGCCGAACCGTTCCATCTCTGTGCACTTGGCATGGAGACATCAAGCAGCTACTTTCAGGATGTTAAGCTCTGGAAAACCTTAAGGTAACTTTCTTTTAAAGATTTATTTATTTGAAAGGCAGAGTTACACAGAGGCAGAGGCTGAGGGAGAGGTCTTCCATCCGCTGGTTCATTCCCTAGATGGCTGGAGCTGGGCTGATCCAAAACCAGGAACCTGGAGCTTCTTCCAGGTCTCCCACGTGGGTGCAGGGACCCAAGCACTTGGGCCATCTTCTACTGCTTTCCCAAGCCATCAGCAGGGAGCTGGATGGGAAGTGGAGCAGCCGGGACTTGAACCAGCACCCATATGGGATGCCAGCACTGCAGGCAGTGGCTTTCACTATGCTAGGGTGACAGATCAATGTACCCTTTCTAATGCCCTCCAGAGAAATATGAAGGGCCCGCGATTGTGGCATAATGGGTAAAGCCGCCATATGCAGTGCTGGCATTCCATATGGGCGCTGGTTTGAGTCCCAGCTGCTCCACTTCCGATCCAGCTCCCTGTTAATGGCCTAGGAAGGGCAGTGGAGGATGGCCCAAGTGTTTGGACCCCTAAAACCCATGCAGGAGGCATGGAAGGAGCTCCTGGCTCCTGGCTTCAGCCTGGCCCAGTGCCAGCTGTTGTAGCCATCTGGGTAGTGAAGCAGCAGATGGAAGACCTCTCTGTGTCTCTCCCTCTAACTCTTTCAAAATAATTAAGTAAATCTTAGGAAAAAAAAAAAAAGTAGTGGTGATACTTGCCCGTAAGGACAGATTTGGGTCGATTGTACATGAAACGATACTCAGCCCGGGGCCATGCTGTCACGTGCTGCCAGAAGCCGGCTGGCAGCATCACGGATCTGGCATTGATCTGGAAGTACTTGCCCGAATTTCCCAGCCACGAGACCTGCCGGTTAGCTAAGGTTTTCTCATTCAGTGACACTCACCGGTACAGTCGGTGAAACCAGGGCCAGCAGGTGCGGTATGGCGTTGCTCGAAATAACAACATCTCTGAACTCTGGGCCATCGCCTACAAACGGATTGGAACGTGACAGTCAGAGAGGGAGCCCTGGGGGGCCTGAAGTGGGTGGTTAATTTTATAAAAGTCTACACAAGGGGTAGGAGAGCGACTTATTCCAGAGTCTAGCAGGTAGACGGGATAGCCACATACTAGGATCCTGCCTCTCCACGGTGTCTGCTGGGCGGACAAGCACACCACAGAGCAGTAACTGCTCTCAGCAGGGGCTGCGGATGCTGCCCCAGCAGTGCTCGGGAAACACTGGTGGCCTCCCACAGCACCGCTGTCAGCGAGACGGAGGCTCGCGTGGACCAAGCCGTCTTCCCAGAAGGCTCTGGCCCACGGGGTGGCAACATCCAGACTGAACTCAGGACAAAGCCTGGGGACGCATCGCTGCCGACAATCAGCCCCGTCTGCTACTTTGGCCAAAATGCTGCTTTAGCCCCTAGGAGTCAGCACTCTTCAGTCATGGGGGCACGGCCTGAGCCACTTCACTCCACCCTGTCCAGCCTGTTCCTCATGGAACCAAGCAAAGTATTAGAGGACGTCCCTCCACACGCGCTTCACTCCAGCCCCCGTCGTACAGCAGTTACTCTACGTTCTGCTTGCTAATTCCGGGACCTGAAGTCCTTGGAGGTCTAATCAACGCTGTTTGCTTCTGCTGGCTCAGTCACGGCTGGTTGTTGCTACTCTGGACTTGAAACTGCTAATATTTAGCTGAGCTTTTGCCCAAATCCTGAGGGGCCCAATTGAGTCTCCCCTCCCCCACCCCCAAACACTGGCGAGCACTCGGATGGCTCTCTGCCAGGAATCCAGGAGCTTCCAATGCTGCGGCCCTAACGCCACAGCTCCTGCTTCCGACCACAGAGCCCACAACACGTCCGGGCCCAAATCCTCCAGCGGAGTCTTGGGATCCTGTTCTCAAGGAAGATTTTTTTTTTTTATCCCAAGGTGAGGAGACATTATTGTGTTTCCTTAGCAACTTTCCCTGGAGAAAAGAGTGCTTTTAGGGTCCCGAGTTAGGCAAGGGACCGTCATATATGCCCACGCTGCAGGGGCCAGAGCCTCATCTTCTATTCCTGAAGCCACTAAGGCCTGAGGCTGCGGGACCCCTCTTGTTCCTAGACAGCCTGCAGTTCCAGGATGGACTTCATCATCCGGTTTCAGCTCCAATTTGGCTCTGTCTGGGGCCGGCACTGTGATGTAGCGAGTCAAGTCACCGCCACCCCATATAGGTGCCGGTTCCAGGCCTGGTTGTTCCACTTCTGATCCAGCTCCCTGCTAGTGCACCTGAGAAAATCAGTGGAAGGTGCCCCAAGTACTTGGCCCCTGGACTCACATGGGAGACCCGGATAAAGCTCCCGGCTCCTGGCTTCGGCCTGGCCCAGCGCTGTCACAGCCATTTGGAGAGTAAACCAGCAGATGGAAGATTTCTCTCTGCCTCTCCCTGTCTTTATAACTCTGCCTTTCAAATAAATCATAAAAACAAAACAAAACTTGGCTCTGAATTTTTGCAACAGCTCCGTGTACCTTTCCCAGTACTTGCAGGTACATAAACGGGAGAAAAGTTCCAGAATGTTGACAACACCACCCTAGCCAAAGAACACCCCGCTGCATGCCACATCGCCGTCCACTGTTTTCTTAGCCTGCTCGGGGCAAGATTCTCACCGGCTATGTTACCAAGAGCCCACACGGCCTGCTCGCACACGGCCACGCAGGGGGAAGACAGGAGCTCGATCAGAGGCTGGATGGCACCTCCTTCCACGACGGCTCGCGTCTGCTCCGAGGTCCCGGAAGCGATGTTGGTCAGAGCCCAGGCTGCCTCGAACTGCAGGTGGGGGTGAAGCGATGACTTCAGGAACTCCACCAGCCTGGGGATGAGCCCCGCATCGATGATGGGCTTTAGGGGAGGGTTCCTTTCCCGGGAGAGCATTTTCCTAAGCAGTGAAATGGACATAGGGCAGAAGGAGCGTCACACCGTGTTGGGAGGTAGCAAGAAGCTCCTTTAGGGGCCGGCGCTGTGGTGTAGTGGGTTAAAACCCAGCATCCCATATGGGCTCCAGTTCAAGTCCCAGCTGCTCCCCTTCCAATCCAGCTCCCTGCTAATGCACCTAGGAGAGCAGTGGAGGATGGCCCAAGTACTTGGGCCCCTGCACCCACATGGGAAACCAGGAAGAAACTCCTGGCTCTTGACTTTGGATTGGCTCAGCTCTGGCCATTGTGGCCATTTGGGGAGTGAACCAGTGGATGGAAGACCTTTCTAACTCTGCCTTTCAAATAAATAAATCTTAAAAAAAAAAAAAAAAAACTTTTACAGATGTTGCTGGTGTTCTGAACCATTGAATGAGACCAACAGCTGGACCAGAGCCACTTGACCTCCCAGAGTTCAGCCTATGGCACTTGGCACTGACGAAGAAACATCTCTCTCCCCGCTTCAGGTATTATCCGGGAGCCCAAATCCCATAGAGGCAAATTAACCAATTCATCTCTGACAGCACATTCTCTCACCCAAAGCGGTGTAGAATAGCAGCCTGGCCTTGCTTTGCAATGCCCTGGGCCTCTCCTCTCTTTGTGGGCAGCTTGCCAGCATCAAGAAACCCAAGAGGGCCCCGAGTTTGTTGCTAGCAGTGAACCTGCACAGAGCAGAAGCGTGCTTGGCGATACCTGGCGGCCTGGGTGGCCTGGAAACAAAGCAGTGGGTCTGAGCTGTTCACACCTCTGACTATGTCATCCAGGGAGAGGCTCACCTGTGAGGAGAGACACATTCAGGTCAGGGCTGCAGCTGAAAGGAACCACAAACACCACCTGGTCCTGTCACCCTTCCAGTTAGAACCGGCTCCAACAGGATGCCACGCCCTGCGCTCTTCAGTATCAGGTAAGAACTCCCGGTCATCCACAGGTCGCACAGGTCTGTAGGACACGCCCTGCGCCCAGACCGCATGGCTTTCTAGCCACTTTTTATCCTATGCTAATGGAAATCAGGAAAAAAAAAGGTACAGAATAAACTTCCAAAAGTTCTCTCCTCCATAAAAGCTGCAGAAAACTGAAAAAAATTGTCAGAATCAGATTTTTCAGCTCTGTAGAAGCTGATCGAAGGCTTGCAGTGTTTTTTTAAAAATCCAAGCCAGGAGGTATTTATTTATGAAAAACAATTAAATCTCAGTAAAATTCTGAGCTTTGTATTACTTTAACTTGCCGTATTCCCACCACCCCCAACTTCATGGCAGCTTTGAAAGCCAACGGTGTGGGACGGTGCTGTGGTGCAGCGGGGTGAAGCCCCGGCCTGCATCCTACACGGGCGCCAGTTCGAGTCCCAGCTGCTCCACTTCCGATCCAGATCCCTGCTAATGTGCCTGGGAAAACAGTGGAAGATGGCCCCAGTGCTTGGGCCCCTGCACCCACGTGGGAGACCTGGAAGAAGCTCCTGGCTCCTGGCTTCAGCCTGGCCCAGACCTAGTTGTTGTGGCCCTCTGGGGAGTGAATCAGCAGATGGCAGACTCTCTGTGTCTGTACTTCTCTCTGTAATTCTTCCAATTAAATAAATCTTTAAAAAGGGGAAAAAAAAAAAAAAAGAAAAGCCAGCGGTACATGAAAATGCAATAGCCCCCCGGGCACCAGGAGAGTCAGAATGGGCAGGCCCTCCTTCCAAGTCTCTCTCTGGAAGAGCTGCTGTTTGACCTGTCTAGCAGTTCCCTGAACGACCCCACTTGTAGAACTCTTTCCTTTGACTGACAGCCCACTCAGTGTGAAGCTTTTCCCTGGATGTTTGTTGAAGACAATTTGAGGAACTTGTTTAACTTCACAGCTAAGAGGCTGGATAACAGGGTAAGTAATAGACCGAACAATCAAACAAAAAACTTACGGGGAAAATACGAGGAACGAGATGTCCATTTGGGGTTTGGAAAGCTCCGACATACTCCAGAGAATCTGGGAGACCAGGTGTGTATGTGGGACCGGGCACAGGCTCACAGACACCTGAGACGACCCTAAGCTCCTTCCACTAACTGACCTTGAGGCTCGGTGTAAACAGGAGGGAAAGGCTTCAGATGGCCAGTTCAACATGTAGTCAAGCACTGGACACATGCCCCAGGACGTACACAGAACATCTTGGCAAAAATTGGGTACATTTTCTTCTCTGGTGGTTTCAAGTGTTAAATGGAAACTATGGGGGCCAGCACTGTAGTGTAGCAGGTAAGTCCTCCGCCTGCAGCGCTGGTGTCCCATATGGGCACTGGTTGGAGTCCCGGCTGCTTCACTTCCCATCCAGCTCTCTGCTATGGCCTGGGAAAGCAGCAGAAGATGGCCCAAGTGCTTGGGCCCCTGCACCCGTGTGGGAGACCTGGAATAAACTCCTGGCTCCGGATCGGTGCAGCTCTGGCTGTTGTGGCCAATTGGGGAGTGAACCAGTAGATGGAAGACCTCTCTCTCTTCCTCTCCTTCTCTCTGTAGCTCTGGCTTTAAAATAAATAAATCTTAAAAAAAAATGAAACTATGTTCTAGTCATTTGCCAGCCATTAAGCAAACTTGGGAGAGATTTCTGTGGCCACATGTGGCAAAGAACACATATTTTACAGAATTAAATCAGAAACCACTAAACAAGCACCACCATCCAGCAACAACCAACCCTGGGGCAAGGAGGAATCCGATATCCAGAATGTTCATGTTATATTTTAAATAACTGACTTTTTACAAAGTATAAGACATACAAAGACATAAATATGACATAGTTACCTGGGATGGGCACAGTCAATACAAACAGTCACTGAGGCACCCAGATGTTGGACTTACTAGATCAAGACGTTAAACATGTTCCAAGAACTAAAGGAAAGTAGGAGAGCGATGTCTCAAATAAAGCTTCTCATGGAAGATACAGACATCCTGGAATTGGAGAATATAATAACTGAAATTTTTAAAAAAATCACTTCATTTATTCAAATCCGTTTTTCAGCTCCTGAAGAACTAGTCAAGTTGCAGATGGTCAACTGATATGACCAGTCTGAGGAAGATAAAGGGAAAAAAGACTAAAGATGGGAATCAGCTGGTCTCAGAGCTCCTAGGACCCCCATCAAGCCTACTGACATGACCTAACATGAGTAAAAAGACATAGGGGCACAGAGTATATTTAAAGAGATATTTGAGAAGTACACTTGATGAGATGGCCAAAACTTTCCCAAATTTGATGAAAAAATTAATCTATACATTTGAGAAGCTCAGTGAACTCCAAATAGGATAAATCTCAAGGGATCTATACCTAGACACATCATCAACTGCTGAAAGCTAAAAACAGACTCCTGAAACCCATAAAAGAGAAGCAACTCTTCATATATGAGGCCTTAGTGAGATTAACAGCTGAATTCTCATCAGAGAGCATGGAGGTCAAGAAGCAGTGGAATGACATTGTCAAAACGCTGAAGGACAAAGATGATCGACCAAGACTCGCCGTCCAGCAAGCTATCCTGATAAAATGGAGGAGGCGCTAAGACATCCCTTGATAAAGAGAAGCCATCATTAGCAAACCCACGGTACAAGAAATGCTAAACGAAGTCCTTCAGGTAACGGGAAGTAGACAATAACCTTCACATGAAGAAATAAACACCAGTCAGGTCATTACTGCATATTGGCAAATACGAAAGACGGTATACATGATTTTTGTTTTTGCAAAATTAAAACTCTATTTGACTTAAAAAGACAATGGCCTAAGACAATAATTGGAAATCTATGTAGATGGACACACACGGTATGAAGCTGTAACTCGTCAGCAGTAAGAGCAGAGGTACAGGGAGAGAATACAGCTATAAAGGAGCCAAGTTTTGTGACCATTGAAATTAAGCTGGTCTTCCTCCAAACTAGATTGCTAATTATAAAACCAGATGTTAATTATACCCAGGACAAACACTAACACTTTTTAAAAAATAGTAAAAGAAACTGGGAAATTAAACTAGAAAGTATATGTATAACACACAAAAAAAGGGAAAGATGGAGAAATAGAGGAAGGGAAAAAAAGACTAAGATCTATGGAAAAACAAATAGCAAAATGGCAGATGTAAAGCCAACCTTTTTTCTTTTATTTTTTTCTTTTTGGACAGGCAGAGTGGACAGTGAGAGAGAGAGACAGAGAGAAAGGTCTTCCTTTGCCGTTGGTTCACCCTTCAATGACTGCCGCGGTAAAGCCAACCTTATCACTAATTACATTACATGAAAATGATTTAAACACTCTCAGTAAATGACAAGGATTTGTAGAATGGGTTAAAAAAAATACGATCCTATTATATGCTGTCTGCAAAGGTCACACTTTAGGCTGAATAACACAAAAAGGTTAAAAGTCAAAGAATTAAAAACAGCATACAGGGGCCTGGCACCGTGGCACAGCAGGTAAAGCCGCACTGTTACAGTGGGGCATCCCATACGGGTGACGGTTTGAGTCCCTGCTGCTCCACTTTCAATCCAGCTCTCTGCTATGGCCTGGGAAAGCATAGAAGATGGCCCAAGTCCTTGGGCCCCTGTACCCATGTGGGAGACCTGGAAGAAGCTCCTGGCTTCAGATCAGCACAGCTCCGGCTGTTATGGCCAGCTGGGGAATGAACCAGTGTATGGAAGACCTCTAACTCTGCCTTTCTAATAATTAAAGAAAAAAAAGATACCCTTTGTCCTCAACATCTTTGTTATGCCTCTATGTAGATTTGTGCTTTTAGAAATTTTGATTTCACGTTAAGCCTCAACTGTTTAAGAAAAAGAAAACACCCAAGGAAATACGAAACATTCACACAGTAAAACATCCCAACCACAGATACCTACCCCAAATAACAGAATGCACATTCTTTAAGAACAAGTGGAACATTCTCGAGTGCCTATGGACAATACACACATCAATACATGTAAGAGGACTAAAATCATTCAAAGTGTGTTCTCTAATCACAATGGAATGAAATTATTCACTTCAAACAGAAGATCTGGGACATTCACAAACATGAGGAAGTTAAACAACACATTCCTAGATAACCAAAGGGTCAAAGAAGAACTCATAAGAGAAATTAGGAAATACCAAGATGAATGAAACAAAAACACAACATACCAACATAATGGGATACAGCCAAAGCAGAACTTAGAGGGAAATGTGTAGCAATAACACATCTGCTATAATAGAATATCAGTCTCAAAACTACAGCTCAAGATTCAGTCTTTAAAGACTAAAAAAATAAATGCCAAGCAAATAATAAATATTAAAGAAAACAGAAAAATGAAAAGTTGGTTCTTGAATAAAAACAAAAATGACAAACCTTCAGCTAAACTTCCCAAGAGAAAGGGAGGGGGTGGAGGGAGAGAAGACTCACATTATCCAACCAGGAATTAAAGTGAGGTCATTATTACTGAACTCATAGAAAGAGGAATCAGGGGTCCAGTGCTGTGGCGAAGCGGGTAAAACCACCACCTGCAGTGCCGGCATCCCATAGGAGTGCCGGTTCAAGTCCCGGTTGCTCTGTTTCCAATTCAGCTCTCTGCTGTGGCCTGGGAAAGCAGTGGAGGATGGCCTAAGTCCTTGGGCTCCTGCACCCACCTGGGAGATCTGGAAGAAGCTCCTGGCTCCTGGCTTTGGATCAGTTCAGCTCTGGCCATTGAGGCCATCTGGGAGTGAATCAGTGGATGGAAGACCTCGCTCTTTCTCTGCCTCTCTATAACTCTGCCTTTCAAATAAATAAATCTTAAAGGGGGGGGGAAGGAATCTGAACAGATGAATGCCAACAAATTA